CAAACGAGTCTTACTTTGTGTGCGTTTATTTTCTATTATTTCTAATATTTTTTTGTTGTTGTTTTTTTTTTTGACGTAGCTCGGATTTATTAAAGCATTAAATTTAAGACATGCAATTTAGTGTCAAAGCGGGCAGCTTTACGGCAACAACAACAACAACAATAACAACTACGACCCCAACAATCACCAGTGGTAGTGTCAATGTCGCTGTTAAAGCTGCGGCTGCCCTTTGTTTTTGTTCCGTTCCGTTGTTGTTGTTGTTTTCGCTGCTGTTGCTGCTGCTGCTGGCACAGGACCAGGACATGTACGTGATTACCATGGGAGGCCAGTGCAACAGCGGGTGGTCCTTTTGGCTGGATTCTGGCCGTTACTCCTGGTGCCGTTTGGCAAACTGAATGAGCCTGTAATTTGTACTTGCACTCATGAACAAGGGTATCTTCCCCCTGTCTGTATGTGTGTGCGTGAAGTTATTCAGCAAAAAATACGGAAAAAATGTCGAGGCAAAAGGCAAAGGACTGGGTCTCCACCCTGCCAAGGTCAGCCCAAGGATAACGCATATTTACGTGTTGCCCCTCCCACTCCAAACGTCGACACTTTGGCAAGCAGCGCCCCGTGATATTTCATGCTTTTGTTTAGCTGCCTCTCACGCACACACACGCACCCGCACATATCTACGGCTTTGTTGTTGTTTTTTTTTTTCAATTTTATATATTGCAGAAGGCAAGGAAATGGCACATGTTTGTGTTTGTCCTGATGCTGGCGATAATCCACTGATGTCATTTATTTGGCTCGCTGCGTCGACGCCTCATCCGATGCAATCCTCCTTCTCCCCCCCATCCCCCTTACCTGCTGCCACTGGCCAGGCCAGACTTTATAGCCTTATATCTCTATCAACAGCTTGAAGCTTTGAGAATTGCTCACTGACGCAGAGTAAAATTCACGCTTCAATTGAAAATTGCGTGCGTGATATTTAGAACAATGTGTTGTCATCGCAGCAGTCCCAAAAAAAGGGCCAACTCCCATAACAATAACAAGTCAACAACTTTCTACATATTGATACAAGGACTGATGCCCCCGACGCATAGCCAAAAATGTTTTTGTATGCCCCAACATAATGTATTGGAACTTATGAATAAACATGTTACTGAAAGGGTATTTCGGACTTACACATATTCTTGACAATTGGTTATAAACTGAACACGTATTCAGACAATCGAACGAACCTGTGAAAATAATTTTGAATCGTATAGGACGCCAATCTAAACTGTTTTATTCACACATTCCTATATAGAAGATCAATTTATAAAATAAAAAACAAAACTCTCTTCTACTATGTTAAGATTTTTATGCAAAAATAAAATCATATTTAACTTGTTCAACCATACTGTTAGGGTATGCATTCTTCAGTTATTTTAAAAAGTTCTTCCTTATGTTATTCTTTCACTTTCATGTATACATGTTGCCGTGCTGTGCCGTTTGGTAATCATTCGAATGGCTTCTAATAACATTGAGGTGGATGCTTATATTTATAAATTGTTAAATATAAGCCAAGGTTCCCGGGCATAATAGAAATTCTGAAAGCATCCAACGAAAATAGCAACGCGTTGTATATATTGTGTACAGATATGGAAAATCGGCAGAAAGCACACAAACCGGCCTCAATTGGCCCATCGAGCCGAGGCAATGAGCAGTAACAGGCAGAAGGCAGCAGTCAACAGCATCCTGGCAATGGCAACTTAATGCCAACCAGACTTCGAGATGGCAGGCAGCGAGTGTCAGGGAGGAGTTGCAACACGGAGCGGCCTCCACACAGTTCATTGAGTTCGACTTGCTGTTTGTTTTATTTCCAGACGCGCTTTAATGTCGTTTATATTTATACAATTTAGGGCCGCTTCCCCAGAGCAAGAGCCAAGTGCAAGTGCCGCATTGTGGGTTCACCAACATCATCTTTCGTGCTCACTCCTCCTGGCCTCAATGAACGGGTCGATAGATTTTTACAGCATGCCTTCCTTTTATGACAAGGACAATAACTCCTTTGCCAGCCTTTTGTGTTTACGCATTCGCCGCAGTTCATCAATTTATTTAGCATTTTTATGCGCTTTGCCAACTCGAAATTGTTTAAAACGAGCTATATTGATTTAATTAACGTCCTTAAACGGCCCTAAAGGGAACCAATGTTCCAGTACCAAGCGCTTTGCCCACTTTAGGTACATGCATATTCAATTTGATTGAGCTTCTTCCATTTGAGGACTCTAACAGCATTTTCATGTACGCCTTTTATGTACGGGTTAACAAAAAGAAAATAAAAAGATTATAAATCAAATATTGAATTTTTTAAAATTAATTTAAAACTTCGTTATGGCAATTTTGCAGGATTACCAATGGCAAGTATAATTTTAGTTTATCCATAGTGCAATGTAACATTTTATACTTTGGTAAAGTCAATATATATATATTTATATATAAATATATTAAAATGCATTATTATTAGTTTTTGCTATGCAATTTCTTTTTAAAGAATTTATTTCTGAAAGCTACTATAAATAATAACTAGCAACCTAGAGGCATTTTAACTTTTACAATTTCATTATAGTAAAATCGCGACTCTTGTCAGCATTTCATTTATTTACCTCTTCACCAAGCCATGGTGCTGTATTCCTGAAAAAAAGGCAGGCGCCCTAATTGATAACAATAAAAACCAGTCGAGCAATACAACTTTTTAAATGAAAATTATCTTTAATTCGCTTCACTGACGACTAGGGCTAATTTATAATAATAAGCATGATGGGAGCAAAATGATTGAAGCTTATGAGAGCAATTTGAACCTATTTCAATTATGTGAGACTTAAGCAAATGGCTGCAACACCAGCCAGGAGAACTGTCAAAAACACATTCATGCCACCATCTACGGGAAAAATTGAGAAGATAAATGGCATAAACATAATTAAATTTAAGCAAATTGGGCCCGTTTTCGGTATATGGGTTATTTAGAAGGGCGATCCCTTCGGGCAACTGAACAATAGGGGTTCGGGCTCAAATTCCTTAGACACAGGCCAGCTCAAATAATGGGTTAGGTTTATTGATTAATTATAAGCGAATGCTGACAATAGCTTTTCTTGAGGAACTCTGGTAAAATGTACTGCTACATTTTAAAAATATCTCTATACGAATTATCTTTTTTGCCAGATAACCTAACAAATGCGATTAATATTTGTATTTAATTTATAATTATGAACTAGTAAAATAGAACAATCTGATATTTTTTCATATACATGTGTGTGTACTGCTATGATAAACTACACACACACATGCCCACACACAGAAAGTCACACTAACATACTGCACAAGCCACACGCAATAATCATAACAACCGAATAACCGAAATCCCTTCACAAACACAACTCCCACTCACTATCACACACATACACACACACACAACAGACACACACACACACACGCTTGCCATGCCCCAAGGGTCTAGAGAATTACGCCCGCGCATTTGGTTGAAGCCACCAACAAAGTCATCAGGACAATGATTGCTCTGGCCTTATATATTGGCAAACAAATTCGCTGAGCAGCTGAAAAAGCGCAGGGAACCCGTCCAATGCCAACACCAGGACCCAGGGACGCACACGCATTTCGGTTCATTAACCAACCCAACAAGAGAAGCTAGGAAAACAAAAAAAAAAAAAAACTGAGAATAGAGAATCGAGAAAGCGAGAAACTGTAAAGAACTAGCAGCAACGGGAAACAAAATTACCAAAAGCAAATAAAATGTTTTCGAGGGTTTGACGCTGCTTCAAATTCCGTTTGGGTGATAAGTGGCTCACTCCAAAGTTTTGCCCCTAATCCTCCCTTGCCCCGCCAACAGTCGCATAAGCTTAAGATCTGTGCAGTTTGCGATTTGATAGCCCCCTGCGCTATGCAACGTTTCTTTTTTATTAGTTCTGCGCTTATCCGCCATTTTGACAGTCGTTATTTGGCTGATTACAACAAGGACAATGCCCAGGCAGTCATTCTCTGTGTGTATATGTCGTTGTGGTGGCAACTGCTGATGTGTAACCACTGCTACACTATGCAACAAATTTGCTGCGCATTGTAATACTAGAATACTATAAGTGGAGAAGCTTTAGCCAATTATAAATATGTGAGGTACTACATATACATATCCGTTGATTTAGTTTCCAGTTTATAAGCTAAAAAGAGGTTTAGGTTTTTAATTTATTTGGTTGAGTGGTAGCATAGTGTTATTTTGGACCAAACTGCTTTAACTTTAGTCGCTTTTGTGGGTCATTAGTGCGTTGTGTTGCGTAGGTTTTGGTCGGTGGTTGGTCTCTGGCTTATTTTCTCATTAGTTAGTTGATGCACGTTGCGCGATTTGTCCCCACAATGTTAGCGAAACGATCCAATTTTCGGTGGGGCACGCACTCAGCTTAAACTTTATGGAGCTCAACATGGCAGGAAATTCCGGCAGCTGCTTGCAGTTGGCGCTTGGCTGTTACCAGTTGTTTTAGATGCGTTGCTTGCATTTCGCGCTTTGCTGACTGCATTCATCTTGGACCCCAAACCCCACATCTCCTCGCACCGGCAGACTGACTCGCTGACGGACTGAGTGTCTGCTTGAGCGACAGCTGCACAATGCAACCCCTGAGTGGCTTGTGGCACTTGCAATTGCAACTCTATTGCTTGCCCTCACCCAACCACCCAGACAAGACACCAGAATGTTAACTGAAAACTGTAAACTTTATGTCTGTAGTTTGGCCTCTGCCCCTCGTTGCAATCTTCACTAATGTGTGTGTATCTTTTTGTTGCGTGTCCATCACAAACATAAAGTGTTTTTTTGCGTGCTGCAAGCCACCAAAAGTTCGCACTTGGGCGCAACCAAAAAAAAAAAAGCTTTGGATGCTCGACCAGCTGAAATTTAAATAATGTGAGGTCAGGCTCGAGTTACTGTTTCAATATGTTTTAATCTTAATACACATAGTTACACATATACATACAAACATAGTCGTAATTTCATATATATGGAGTACAAATCTGTTTTGCTGCTTAACTTAATGGTTGGATCTTTCAATTATATGCCTGGCGGGACAAGTTTTGTGCTTCAAGTTCTGTTCGCTATTCCTATCATAATCTCAATGGCAACCATTTCCTGCTCGTTGGAAAGTTGAATCTCCCGGACTACCTTTAACCCCACGTTTCAGAATTATTGAGATTTATATATATACTTAAAAATGAGTTGTAGGCCGACCTAATGAAAAACAAAACGTTGCAATCAAGGCATTCCGCCGATTTACTATTTAAGTGTCGAGCTATATAAATGAGCTTCTTGCCTAATATTATGCTATATAAACTTTGACCCACACTTTCCACACTGGACGAGTTGACTTGCCACACAGACAAGGATCTTCGAAAATGAGTTTGAACCCGATCGGATGATGAACAAAGAAGCTCACAACATTTTCCACCAATTTTCCACATTCGCAAAATTTCAGCCTTCCAGCTCTTACGGGTTAGGCTTTGCTTTGATCGCCAATCAGTCAGTCAGGGCAAACAGTTCTATATATATAGATAAGTTTCTAGTGGATTGGCTCCAATTAATTATTCACTTATGTACTGTAAATTGTAAATTGTAAATTCTTGCTGCTGCTTCTGCTCGCATTGTTTCCCTTTCTCTCTGTGAAAGAACATAAATGGCTAAGTACACACACATATACACAGTAAGAAATATAGCTTCATGTCAAAGTTTATACTTAACGCTATTTTTGGAACGCACACACATACATCAAAATTACTCTATGAGCTTATGTGCTAAACATATTGAATATTAATAATTGCCATTTGTTATCATTTTGGTTTAAATTTCCTTCCTTCTTTTCAAAATTGTTTGTTTTCTAAACAATGAGCATGATTTTGTTTTCTCCACTTTAATTATTTTCCTATGTGAGTATCTGTTATGTCTGTCCGAATGCATTATGATGCACTTCTCATTATTATTAATAGTTTTTCTGTTTTTCATTTTTGTATAAGAAAAATGGTTTGATTAGCTGAGCATTTTATGAGCCTAATCTTAACCCAATAAATTCTTATATAGGTTCTTATATATGCTATTATAATATGTTTTATGCTGTGAGCAGCTTAAGAGCTTATGACATGCCACATTGTTAGATATTTAACTATTGGTGTTGTATCCAGTGTTCACATAGTATGCCTGTGCTACCAGTTTAGAAAATTTACGCTGTTTCATAACTGCCAACTGAAAACTATAAAAATATAAGTAACTTATGGCTAGTTTTAAACTGAAAAAACAGTTTATTAAATTAAGTTCTTAAGACTTTAAGTAGCTTAGCTATACAGATAAACTTATAATATCTTTGACCTTACATAGCTTATTGTATTATTTGTGAATTAAACATTTACTTATAGCTTTAAACTTTTGTTCATCAATAATTTGTGTGCTTTCACGAACAACTGTAAAGTCCCAGCTCCATGTAATAAATAAAAAAAAAAATAAAAATACCCTTTGTGAGCCTTTGCACTAGATGAGCTCGGCTTTTGTGTTTTCTGTTACTTTACCAAATCAAGTTGTGTTTTTTTTTATAATCTTAAACATAATATCAATGCCCCATTTTCTTCCGTTCCTGTGCAAATTGAAGGGCGCTTAGCTTGTCAAACTTTATTGGTTTGCAAAACTGTCTGTCAAAAAGTAGCATGCAGTTAAACGCTCTCGTAGTGTTGCCACACTGAAATTTTCACAACAAACGACAGCACTGGCAACTGTTTTTATTCGACAACATCATAATAGACAAATGTATATTAATTTGAGAAATGTCATTAATTAATTTGATGATGCTCTCAATTTCATTGAAAACATTATATACTCATGCGACATTTAACTTCAAGTCAAGTTAAGCTTATTAGATGCGAAGAGAACGGGCTGCGCTACAAAGATACTACAATTTGAAATAACTTGACATATTGTTAGTTTGGAATAAAATCTTGAGACCTTTTGCTATTTAATTGATAATATTATTTTGAGGCTAAGGTAGGTTTAAATTCTTTTGCACCCGTAATATTATTTTGTAGGAGTTAGGAAAAACGAATAGCTTCATAAACTTGTTAATAGCTTTTAAGTTAATTTTAAATACTCACTAGATAAGCATTACTTAAAGAGGGAAAATAGAGTAAGGGAGGAGTGTCAGGTACGTGGACAGGTTGAAGACGTAGCTTTCAGTTAAATATAATTCAGAGATGGGTTGACATTTACAGGATGCATGGCATAAAGAACTCAGGGGATATAATCTATTAATGGAAGATCTGAGATATGACGTCTAATTGTAACGACTTATATAAATATATTAATATAAATATTGGTCCAATAAGAGACATCAAGATAGTCAAGTTATTGGACCAGTAGGACCAGTAACAAAAGTAATCAAGAATTTTATCGCTTTATACAAATATCAATGTATATCTTATTACTAATATGGTTGAGTGCTTTGGGAGAGTTTACTTAACCGAAGCGCTTGAAGAACTTGACGCCATGCCCGCCTGGTACTCCAGCTGTGGCGTCGTCTGTACCAGGGCCAGACCTACGCTCTCGCTGTCGCTGTTTTCATCGCTGTCATGCACATCGTCCACATCCTCCAGCGTTGTGATTTGACTCTGCACGCTCTGGCGCAGTTCGAGCGCTGCATGCTGTACCTCAGTCGGCGACTCCGCAGCCTTTATCAACGAAGGTGCCGAGCTGGTGGCCACGGCTGTAGCGGCGAGCGATGAGTTAGAGTCGCGCAAACGCTTGATGCCCATCATGGGCAGCGGCATGGGCATAAACGATACATGATGACTCGAACCTGATGAGCCCGATGGTCCTATGTCGTTGGGCGTCAGCGCAAAGCTGGTGTGTTTCATGGCTGGCGTAATTGGAGTATTCGCCGCACTGACGGATTCACCTTTTATCCCACCGCCACCAATAGAGGCCTCTAGCAACAGCGTGCGCGGCACCGAAGCGAGCGTGAGCGTGGACACCGATGAGGGTCTGCCACTGCCACTGCCGAGATGCAATGTGCTGACCGAGGCTGCCGCTGCTGGCGGCGCCGTAATTGTCACAATAGTTTTAGCTGCGCTATTCACCGCCGACGTCGAACTGTAGTCGCCCCGCAGCTGCATGCCTGAGCTGCGACGCCTGGCGCGATGATGATGCCGGTGAAAGCTCTGGCAGCGCGTGCAAGAGCGCTGCGAGGACGAAGGCGTGGGTGCCGCCGATGAATGATATTGATGAGAGTTGCGGGCGACGCCACCGCCAACGCCGCCGCCGCAGTTGCTGCTACCACTGCAAGTGCTGCAGCTGCTCGGCTGACGTCACATCAGGGTGCGGTCCAGCTGATTGACGGAGTGGTAGCCAAAGGATGTTGAGGCGGCCACCATAGCGGCGGCAACATGGCACTGTACGAGCAAAATAGACAGACGGAGAGAGAAAAGTAATATGAGAATCTTGTAGTTAAATTTTAATTTTAGCGCTTTGCATACAGCTTACAGGCAGTGTTGAAATTTGCTTCTGTGTGTGTGTGTGTGTGTGTGTGTGTGTGTGTGTGTGTGTTTGCGAGTGTCTGTGTGTGTGTAGGTATAGCAAAACAATTTGCCTTAAAGCATCGCAACAGCGGCAACAAAGATGTTCAAGGCAACAATGACAACAACAATGACAACAATTTGAAAATGTTGCGGATTTGCTTTCAGTTTTTATGTGCACTTCCGGTGCTTTTTTTTCGGGTGCAGTAAAAGTCAAAGCGAAATGCATGATTGAAAAACAACAACAACGACAACAATAAAAGTAACAACAAGAACAAGAACAGCAAAAATAAAACAAAAGAGAAAGCAATGCAACACAATAAAAGAAATGTGGTTTTTGCAAATGGCAGCAACAGCAGCAGCAGCAGCCTTAGCCGTAGCCAGGTTGGGAGCAGGTTGGGGGCTGGTTTCACACAACACAAAAATACAATTTCCGAATATTAGCTGCAACATCTCTGGCCCACAAATTTCAATTTCTGGTATTCAGTGGGAACGTTCCCCAAACACCAACAAGACACAAAAAAAAAAAACAACAAAAAAAAATAAAATCTTTATCATCATTCTGTTGAATGTTCATTATCATCTTGAGCAGGCATAATGGCTATGCAATTTCATGAGCAAACCGGCCATGTGGTTACTTGTCTGTTGTTTGTATGTGTGTGTGACTCCCATCGAGCTGCATTCCGAATTGTGTGGTTTTTGTGAATTCCTTAGGAATTGCACGTTGCAATTTGCTTCTTTTCAAGACAGATTGGACCTTCAATTCAATTACAGGCTGACAGCAATTGTGGCACATTCTAATATCCTCTTTGCTTGTAAACGACTTTTATTACGCATACGCAACGATTTGCCGGTCCTTGGGCGTTGCCACAATTTGATTAACTGCTCTAACTAGCTTTTGATTTGAATTTCTCCCTCAGGCACTTGAATCACGTGTAACACAACTACGGCTAATTACTTTTTAATAAAACTTATAAAAATATATATATGCACCAAATTTTTGTTTAAGTATCGAATTCTCATTTCTAAACTACATATATAATGAACACGTGATTTCTCGAGTTTTACTTCTTTTCGGATTTATTACTCACAACATAGCTACAGTATTATCTAAAGGGCGTGCCTAGCTCTCAAAAATAGGCGTGCTACGGTCAAAGTTCACTCAACTCTTGGGGCCGTAAAATGATTTCTTTTTCGCTCTGGAATTAGTCACTGCTACGCCCTTTTCTTATAATTTATTACTTAATACTCTATTTGCCAGCAGTCGGGATACACCCAAGGATCAAACTGCCAGACGTTCGGGCAGCTGCCATCCATTCGGGACAATGAAAAGTGTAAAAGTTTTGGAAATAACTGAAACTGTACAGCAAAAAATGTTAAATACAGCTTATGCCGACTATTAAGTTATCCTGTCCTTATCCCATCAGGGACATGGGACAAAATTTGTCGCATTATCACTATATCCCTTAATGCTACAAAAGCATATTATATCAGGGCTTCCGAAGGCAATTTATCACAAATGTTGAAGCTTTGTTATGCACCTAGATATACAATAGCTACGTATATGAAATAAATTATGTCAACTACGAGGCTTTTACCCTTCGAATACATCTGTGTTACAGGGTATTAAATAGGTCAAAAGCTCGGTTTTGTTGAGCAACACCACGCGGCACGACGGTGGCCGCTTTTGGCGACTCTGTCACATAATTATAAACGTTAATTTCACGTTCACAGTCCATTAGGGATAATTGATGTTTTTGCAACATTTGTGGTAAATTACATTTTGATGTTCTGCCTCACGGGGTTAACAAAATAAAACCGAAACCAAAAAGAACAAAATTCCAAAATAAAACAAAAAGTCTGCACTAACTGGCGACAAAATGTCGGTAAGCACGACATCGCTTTAATTTAACCGTCAATTTGTGAAACGGCAAAGAATTTGTTTGATTGATTGTTTTAATAATAATTTGGCTTTGGATCTCATAAATGGCACAAAGCGCTTGCCAATATTGAACACAATTAGCAGCGTTTAGCACAGCAGCTCAAGAGCAATGCATAGTATTGTCAATACATGATAATTGCCTGCGGCAAGGACGAGCTTGAGTTCAGCCTCTACTCGAAGGCGCCAAAGCGCAGCAGCTCCGTTGTGGGCCCCGGTCTTAGGGTGGCCATAGAGTTCTTCTGCAAACATTTAGAATTACAATTACATATTATTTGTGCAATATACGAAATTTTCAAGCGCTAAGCAATGTAAGTGTGAGTGTGTATGGATACGTGTGTGTGTGTAATAGATATGTAAGCTTGCGTATGTGTGGATTTTCCTACTTATAGTGATGGCCGCATTTCCCTTAAGCATGGTCCCAAAGCTATATTGACAAAACACAATGCTATGCAAATTCATTGTCCACTTAGAATGTCACGCGATGCCTTGGGTAAGACATTTTAGAAGCAATCTTGGGAAAACGTTTAAATCCAGTTTAAATCCAGTTTTAAATTTAATTTAATAATTATTTAATTATCCTCTTTCTTAATCAAAGTAAATCAAAGGGAAATATTAAATAAAATCCAGGTATTTAGATTGTTAGTATTTAAGACAAGTCAGAGGACGAGTCAAAAAACAAGCAGAACAGCAGTCAAACAGCAGCAAACGTCAATGAAGTTAATTTTCAGGAGGCACTCATACACACACTTAAGCACATGCACACACAGAAGCTCGCACAGATAAGTGAGAGGACAGCGAATAAACAACGGACCAGAGACAACACAGGACTAAAACGGAAAATAAGAAGATAAGGGGTACCAGATGCACTACGGACCACAAGCTAAGTCCTGCAAAATAGGTAAACGAACCGAAATCACCCTCACACCGAGGCCTTTATGAGCGCTGTTTAACGGAACCATTTTCATTTGTTGTCCGTCTGGGAAATGGCAAACGGAAGTTGACTCATTTACCGCTAATTTCAGGCATTACTGGAACTTGTGTATGCTATTAAGTGACCGCCTTAAACATTATTTACCTTATGCTAGCCTTATGATTGAAGAACATCCCTTAGAGTAATGGGACATGTACCACAATTGATATTTGTATTATGAAAAACTGTTAATTGTATCTGTGTTTTTATTATGTTCACAACAGGATTATTGAACTCAACTTTTTTAAATAGCTTTACCCCTTAAAAGTCGAACTACATCACTGCTACTTTTAGCTTTTATAACTCATTAAAACAAATACAAAAAAATAATAATTTAATTTAATAATTTTCCTGCTTGCCACAGCATTAAATTGATAATTAAGAAAAAGCACTTCTTCTATTAGCGTGGTATTGACAAATTCGGATAATAATTAAGATAATTAAAATATAAGAGTGTCTTAAATATACATAAAAGGCCTTTCGTTTTTACATATGCATAAAGTCAGAGATTTGAAAATCAGTATAATTTCCAAGCTATCGCTTTCATATCATATCATACTTAATCCCAAAGCGTGAGAGATCACATAGCAATCTGGAAATTTAAATGAATTAGATTGTAAGCTTTTTGATTAAAATATTAAAACGAATAGAATTCGATATGCTTTTACTTTACTGGTACTTTTAAGTGCCGGGCCCCCAATAACTCAGCTGCTGCTTTCAAGACCCTTTTCAACGCTTTGTTGTTTACAACAACACATATACAATTGGAAAAGTAAGAGGAATTGGCGTTCTCAGGGTGTAATTGGTATCATGTCAGCCACTCGAAACCCAAGACCGAACTGAAAACGAACAAAAATATCCACTCCCACTTCCAAATGGCATTCGAATAGTTACTATTAAGAGCTGTAAATAACATTTTCATCATTAAATTATATAGTATATTTTGTGCATATGCGTTGAGAATGTGTATATTTGTGTGTCTGATGTTTGTTGAAAATTGAGTTGGAAATTTATAGTGCTAAAAGCATTGATAGCATTTCCTAAATATCGGATGTTGGGCTGTGCGATTTCAAAATATGGCCAAGCACACTTATCAATGGTTGCGGGTGCCTCTGCTTGTGTGTGTGTAAGTGTGTGAGTGTGTGCCAGAAGAGCCAAGTCAAAAGGCCAACAAGTAAAAGTGGCAACAATAACAACAACAATGGCAAGTTAAAATTTCAAAGTAAACACAGAAAAAAAAACACATTTATATACTTACAGTGGGAAAAAATCGGACAGAGAGAGGAGAAAGAGAGAAAGACAAAGGTGGAAACTTAACAACATGATAAACAGTGGGTACATTGTGTGAGTGTGTGCGTGTGTTGTCTGTGTATCTTTATATGTATATTTGTAGTGAATGGTTGGGAAAAGCAATAATAACAATAACAACAACAGCAACAGCAACAATGGCTTCAACGCTGCAAGGACAACATGTCCTTGCCCTGTGTGCTCGTGCTTCCAAGACTTCGTATAAGCAGGGAGCTTTTCTTTAAATTTCCCCTTACACTGAACACACACACACACACACACACACACACTTAGAAAGGGGCTATAAAATTATTGACCAATACAAGCTGTTTTACGTTTTCGCGTATGCTTAATATTGCAAATCGAACAGGAGCTTGTCACTTAGATAAGATTTTTAATTGCGAGGTATCCGATAGAACATTGAGTAGTAGTAGTATGTAGTAAGTAGTATGTTGAACGACAATAACAACATCAATAACAACAAACAAAGCTGCCATGCCAAAGGGAATATGGCAAACAGAAACATTGAGCCAAGAGTCAGGGCTGGGCAAACTCAGTTATACCCATGGTGATATGCGGGCGAGGGAGGCAGCATAGTGTAGGTGTGTTCGCATGTGAGTGGGTTCAGGTGCAATACATTCAACAGGTGGAATCATAGCAAATTTTGCAATTTCTTTTTTCGCCTTCGCATACACTTAAAAAACGAATAACAAACAACAATGTCACAGGTGAGTGAACGAGCACAACAGGCGCATCGACGAGTAAAACATTGATATAGAGACAAAGAGAATTAAATGGAGATACGGATAACAAAGAGCAACAGAGAGAGAGAGAGAGAGAGAGAGAGAGAGAGATTGACAGAAGGAGAGAGGCGGGGGGCAACAATGTGCAATGTGTACAATGTTCATCACATATATAGTTTATATGTGTGCAGGCAACACTTCGCACAGTTGGCAGTGCATGACTTTAAAGAGACGCCACGAACCAACGAACACGAAACAATAAATACAAGTTAGACAAGTCGCTTACCTTGCCATTGACTTAGAAACTTAATAGCTTGGGGAAGCGCCTCAATCATTGCGAGCGAGCCTGTTGAATGGTAACTAAATCTAGGCAAAACTATATATAAGTCTGCTCGCAGGAATTGTGGCGCACGTGTTGAATTCCGTGCAGCGAGCAAGTTGAGTAGCAGCGCCGTGTCGCAAATCTCTGTAAGAACACCACCAGAATCATAATCAGCAGCCGCATTAACCACCTATGAAAAGAGCTCCCTTTGGTTTGGGGCTCTGTCAACATGGTCGCAATGCCGCAACGCAGGGCTTTGTTGGTCTTTAATTGTCGATATAAACGAAGTTATTTTCAACTGATGATACAAATGAATATATGTATGTACACACATGTGGTATATCATATTTGATGATCAGAAATATTGTGCTATATGTTTTCATAGTCGATTTATTACGATAATAGTTATAAGTAGTGAATAACCAACAAAACGATTACCAGCTGCTCAAAAGCTTACCAATTGAAAAATTTAAAATGTTTTGCAAAAGTTTGAGGTGTGCTTTAAATATTGAGAAATATTAATTATTTTTGGCAAGTGAAGAAATCCGACTGAATGTCGAACATTGCCAACTAATCTAAAAAAATAAAACGAATGGTTTGAAATTTGAAAATTATCGGTTCATAAAATCATAGACTTAATATCTTGTTTTTATTTTTTTTTTGTTTCAGTTTAAAGTACTACTGAATTTCTAAAATTTGAAAATTACAAATTCTTAATGATTGCCATTATTCAATAAACGAATCTGGAATTACAAAAAAAGTTGTGACTATTGGATATGGCTGACGCTGACCCACTTTAAGCAGAGCTCAGATACACATTAAAAAATTATTGCAGCAATGAATGCGCGCGTGGGCGGTAGCAGGCGCAGTTGCCGATGACGTTGACTGATGCGCTGTTTATTTATGCTGAATTATGAGGATATGAAGAACCTTCCAAAGCACTGAGTGTGCTGTTCTATCTGTCAGACATGTGTGGATGCAAAGGCAGCAGCTTGGCACAGAGGGAGGAAGCGGATAGAGGCAGGGCAAGGTTAAAACTCGCTACGTTTATTTTTTTCTTCTTCTCATATTCATTAAATTTGTAAATTAATTTTGTCGTTCGTTGAGTTGCGTTTTAGGAGCATACGAGAGTAGATGCATAATTTATAAACAGTTTTTGGCGTCGTTCAGCCCCACAAGAAGACATCATGTTGATGAAATAAAATTAAATATTTCGTTATTCCAATAATGAAAGATTGAGCAAGATTGTTAAATGGAGAGTGCTCCAGATGGAGCTAGAAGTATTTGGCATGAAAGAGACGCGAATGAATGACAAATCCCAGCAATGAGAAACCAAACAAAAACCGCAGCTCAGTTGAAATGGTCCAAAAGGCTGGACAACAACTCACCTGTGACTTGGAGCGCATTGTGGGCTGATATTTACGGCGTATCTTGCGGGGACAACACATGCACAGCAGGCGCACAAAAGCTCTGAAAGGAAGGCTAAGCGTAAGACTTTCGTCTTATGATTGAAGAGTTAGGCACATACCTGCGAAAGTCTCTGCTCCAACAGGCATAGATCACTGGATTCATGCAGGAGTTAATCCAGCCTAGCCATGTCACAATTGCCGAAACAATCTCCTCGTGCTCAATGCACTCGATGCAGAAGCCGGACAGTAGATTCACTACAAAAAACGGTAGCCAGCACACAATGAACACGCCCATCACAATGCCCAGCGTCTTGGCCGCCTTCTTTTCCTTGGCAAACTTGGCCAGCTTCCGTGAAAGTGAAAAGTTCTTGCCCATGTGTCGATGTCTGGCCAGGCCATTATTGTGCAGCGCCGATAGCGGTTCGTCGTCCGGCTCCTCGGGCGTGGATGTCGTTGTGCCGCCGCTATGATTATGATGATGATGCGAATGAGAGTGCGAGTGGCTGAGGGAGCCACCGCCACCACCGCCAGAGACTTGATGTGTATTGGGGGCGGGATCCCGGGTGGTGCCGCCACGATGAATGCGCAAAGTCAGCTGCAGTTCCCCGGATGCCATGAGCACCTGCTTGGTGCCGATCTTAAGGGAGCGCGTCTGAATAACCGCCGCGCGATAAATGCGACAATAGGTGAAGACCATGACCAAGAGTGGCAGATAAAAAGATATGGTGGATGAGAAGACTAGATAGCCCAGATGCTCGGTGAAGGTGCACTTGTAGGCGGGCATCTCACCATCTCTGGCGGCCCGCCACCACACAATCGCCGGAAAACTAATTGCACTCGAGCAAATCCAAACAGCAGCAATCAGGCCAGCCGCACGCTTAACTGTCATCCGCATGGGATAACTAAAGGGATCCGTGATAGCCCAATAGCGGTCCAGAGAGATGACGCACAGGTTCAGTATGGACGCCGTGCTGAAGAGTACGTCCAGCGAGCGCCAAATGTCGCACCAGTCGGTGCCAAAGAACCACGTGTTCTCCAGCACCTCATACAGTGCCGAGAAGGGCATTACCACCAGACCCACCAGGCAGTCAGCAACCGCCAGGCTCGTGATAAAATAGTTGGTGGCCGTGTGCAAGTAGCGCTCCCTGATGACAGCCAGGATGACCAGCGAATTGCCAAATACCGTGGCAAAAGAGAAGAGGAACAGAAAGGCCAGCAGGCCAACACGATCGTTGGGCAGCGCCTCTAGATACTCGGACAGATCTGGCTCCCGTGTAGTACTGCTAGGCGCCCCACTTGTGGTATTCAAATTCAACGCTAGCTCTGTACTCGTAGGCGCCGCATTGAAGCCGTTGAAGTAGTAATAGACATCCTCCGAGATGTTGTAGCTGTTGTAGAAGACCGGAGCACGCGTCTGATTAAGCACATCGCCGCGCAACAGCGCCAGGACGGGCTCCACCATGTCAGAAGCAGCTGCATCAGTTTCCGGCGCCGCCAGCTGACGTGGCTCTTCATTGCTCTCAGCCGTAGCCATGGCGCCGACACCAACCTAATACGATGTCAGTGCAGCTGACACAACACCCAGTTCCTGTTCCTGTTCCTGTTCCAGTTCCTGCTTCAGTTCCACGCTCTGAAGTCCGCGGTAGCCAAGCAAATTAATGAGTTGCATTTTTATGTCTGCGAAGAAAAGTCAATAGGCGAATATCATTATAATTTGTATTCAAAGAATTAATGGTAAGAATGAAAATATTTATATTCTGTCAAATATCCTGCAAATCCTTACAATAGGCCTTTCTTGAAAATTCAAGGTAAACATTCACAGTAGATTTCCATAAGTTAAGTGTACTTTTTCCTGCCATGGAAGCAGCTTGTAGTGAAATTTCATTCAATTAAAATGTTGACTCGCATCCGTCCCTACCACATCTGGGCCTACAGGAAACCACACCTACCAAATTTTCAGAGCTAAAAAAGCTAAACAAACACATTAATTAGAGACGTTCGCGCGTCTGCTTATTGTCCTCTTGTTATTTTTGGCCTTTTTTGAGCACGGCATGCAAAACGATACCGTCAGACAACATTCTGGAGTCCTTCAGGGCTTCCGTTCGAAATTTAGCTGTAGACAACGATGCCAGCTGCTCTCCTTAAGGTGCACAATTAATTTACCTGCAGCCACGGCGGCTGTCACAAAACGACAAACATATAAACAAATTAAATTACATTTCAAGTGGCAGAAAGGACAGGAAGTTCTGTATAAGGCACTTTATGCAGCCACCCAGTATCCCCACAGCGTTCGAAAACGGAAGTCAATAATTGCACAGCATTTAACCACGAGCTGTTGCTACTCCCAGCGAGAATTGGGTGCATAACTCAGTTGATTGGCCTCCGTTTACTACGTATATGACGGATTTTTAAAAGAGGTATCCCAACATGGTGATAAAAAAGCAAAAAAAAAAGCACTCTGGTAAAAAAAAAACGTAACGTCGCGTTGCTGTTCAAGCGGGATTGAGTTTGTCCCGTTCTTGTACTTCAAATTTGAAGTACAATTCATACTTTAATCAAGTACGCATCAAAACTGATTTTAGTATTTGATGGTCTTAAATCATTTGTATTTTGTACATGCTGTAATGGGTATCCATACTTGATACAAATCCATTTCGTTTTGAAGAGGTTAAAACACCTGGAGTGTATTTTCATAAAATCGATTTCTTGCTTGAAATGGTCTTTTAGCGTCTAAGAAAAAAGATTTATAAGGATTAACTAAGAATTCCTAAGCGCGGCCCTAGACTAAATTTGTGCACTGGCAAGGCCAACACGTTGTTGAGCTTTCCAGCGATTGGGCTCAAGTCTAACCTGCATCTTAATAAATACAATGACGGGACTATTTTGTAAATTGCTTATTTCTGTTCTTGTTCTTTAACACTACTGACAGTTTTACTTACAAGTTATTGGAGCAGCCACAGAGCAATAAGTCGAAAATTAATTTGTATAAAAATACAGTTTGTATACTTTTTGTGCTCTTTGGCATCCGAAAATAACTTTTATTTTAGAAAATTATGGTCAAGACAAAATGCAAATTTCGCCCACATTTGAGTAATATTGCAAAAATAGTGACAACTAGTCCGAGTACCTTGAAAAATAATAAAATTTGTTCTTACAAAATTATACTTTCCTAAGAAAGTTATATGATCCACACAGCCAACTTCAACATATGTTCCACCAGAAAACAGAAAAGTATCAATTTTCAATCTGTATTCAGCCGTTATCCAATGAGCTGGGAAGTTGAAAAATGGACGCTAAGACGGGGTTTCGTTCCATCTTTATGTATCGAAAAACTTATGTATGAATCTATTCTGTTTTCCATAGTGTATCGATATGTGCGAATACTTGTTATATCAAAACTGGCTGATATATTTAAATATTTATATTTGTCCAAGCACCCACATTTTAATACATTTTATAAGTAGCAAAAATACTTTTAAGGATATTTCTTTTCTTTTAATTAAATTCTCTTCGAGAGAGTAGCAAAGCTAGAACATCTTTACCACTTCCTGACAAACTCGTTGGCCCTAACGGAAGAACTGTTAACAATATGATTGAAATTGAGTGAATATTCGGTTGACTGACGATTGGATTTGGGGTGCGATTTGCTCTGTATTCATTGAATAGGGTCCATGCAGCCGGTCGTGACTATTTTTTTCTCAGTCAATCCACTCGGGGCAGTCCAAATCTGTCTTGCATTTTAAATGACGTGTGGGTTGGCCACAGTTAGTTTTTGTTTAGCCAGATTCTGCCTTTATCACATCGTCCTGGCTGCTTTTGCAAGCTATTCATTTCATGTCTGCCTGTGATTATCACCTGCCAGTCTAAGACCATGGTGATAAGGCGTTGCTGGCAAGCCAAATGTAGCCACATACCTTGGCTTTACTTGCCTTCCAGACAGCCAGTCAGCCAGAATTTTGCTCCTCATTTCCGGCGGATTCGCGTCGCCTGCATGCCATAAATTTTCCTGCCTGCCTGGCTTCTGTCGTTGGCTTATCTCTCCCTTCACCCTAGACGCCTGCTATCAAGTTCTGGTGTCGTTATGCCTGCTTTCTTCGCCTTTCGTCTTTACTTTTCCAGCTTTTCAGCTGTTTAGTACAATTTCCTGGCGCATTTCTCACGCACGACGAAAAAGAAAACTGCGAACATTTTTTTCACTTACGATGAACGTGATGAGTCCGTGTATGTGCACTAAGTCAAATGTGAGCAAAGAGGAGTCCTGTGTGAAAAAAGTTTTGCCTCTTCAAATAGCCCAAAACACCGCCCCAAGAAACTTACCAAAAAGCTTAAAAACAGGCTGCCACATGAAATACCAAAGAAAACATGAAAAACAAGTAAAATTGCTCTGGACGGGAGTCCCCGGCTAGGAGATACCCTGAACCCAGCGCTCATCTGCCTTGGCAAACATTCTGGCTTCCTTCTAACCAAAATTACGCAAAATTAGCCAATTGCTTTGCAGTTTATGTTGCCAAGAGTAGACACGTTCATACATACGGACAGGCAGAATATACATATATATATGGGGTCTTTTTACCTGTTACATGGATTTGTACAAAACAATATACCCATTTAGTCAAATTCAATGGTCTCAGAATATAAAAACAACGGAAAGCCAAGAAGAAAGCCAAATTCAAATGGCGCACTTAAATGTGTGCATGGATGGTTGTGTGTGCCTGGTTGTGTGGGTGCGTCCGCTGGATTGCGTGGAGTAACAATTTAATTGAAGCAGCCTTAAAGCTGACCTCTACTTGGAACTCTGCCAAATCCGACCCTTTTAATAGTGGTCTATGCAAATGACGTCGGCCACGGCAGCAATTTGTACATGTGCTTAAGCCCTTGCATCCCGTTCCATGTCCTGTGCCTGTATCTGGCTGGAAAAGGACCCAAATTGGTTAAGTCATTGAATAGAGGAATGACTGTTAACCGGCACCCATTTATACGCACTGATTACGAACAATTTTGTTCACACTTCGGCAAGGTATTACAATTTAGTTGTCAACTGAGCTACGCTGCAAATACACGGTGTCCGAGAGATTTGTAATACGTTGCCCTTATAAATAAAAAGCTAAAACAAAATAAAATAATAGTACTTTTAATTATTGTATTTTATTTAGAGATAAAAACCAACTAATGAAAAGTAAAAGTAAGTATGTATTCAAGCAGACAATGTACTTAACATTGCACAACATAATATTACATTTTCAATTTACACCTTAAGCTTATATAAAGAACGAAGAAGTTGTGAATCTTGAAAATTATATTTATTTTTAGGTTGAATTCCAGTACAAGAATTAACAGGGACAATATATGTAAATTAATTTCACAAAGTGAATTATAATATTTTGAACTATATGAATACCTTTCTTAGAAGAGTAAACTGTCGAAGCTTTGAGCAATTTCTCGGAAAGAGACGACACAAAATAGAATGAAATCAAATTTAAGAAAAAAGTACTATTTGACATTTATGTATTTAACATTTGTGTAGAAATGGAATTGAATTTAGCCTTATGTTATGTTATGTTTTTTTTTATGTAACCATTAAAATATCGGTGTACTCTTGAAGACACATTCCTTGATATCATACTTGTGACCATTGACCACTTTATTTTAAATATGCGAGTACAAACACAATCAATTATGGAGAAATATACTGATTCCCACGAATGTCATTTAAGCCTAAGGGCGTTACATTTTACAATATACGATCAATACACAAATCTATTCCTGTTTCGATTTGTCAGCTATTGCAATTGGAGGCGCCTTTTCGGCCGAAATTTTAGCGCCAGCTGTAAAAACACTCTCTGAATTTAAATGTTACAAAAGCAGAAAACGGCAACTACCCTACTATGGATCTCCCCCCACTGGATGTGCTTGTTCTTCAGCTTGCCCAATTGTCGTATTTTTCTTTGAATTGTAATTACATGAACCGATTTCACTTGCCGCCTGTCGTATTGATATCATTTCAATTTATAAAATATCTACTCTTTATTTTCTGCTCTACGTTATTTTAATGTTATTCAAAGTGGAAGCCCGCTGACAAGGCGTCGACAACTATCTATAAATAAATGCTTTCAGAGTATGCATAAGGTAGTCAAATCTATTTTTATGGCCTAGCAAGCTAGTGTCAAGGACATGCTCCGCAGATATTATCAAGTTATATGCCTAAGCTGTTGAGGACATGCCTTCATTAATGTTTTTTCTTTTGACAGTTAAGTATTCGATGCGGGAACATAAATTAATTTAATGCACTATGATTCAATCGTTAGCCCAAGCTAAGAGCAAGTATTTGGTCTGAAAAGGTAAGCGAAGTGCGCACCGGGTATTGACATTGAACAACCTTTTCCCGTGCGAGTTTTCTATGCAAATTACCAAACAGAACGATATAAGTAGGAGCTGTTATCAGTGCCTATCAGCATCACCCACCCAGAGTTGCACGATAAATCGTGCCTTAAATCTCTCAAATTGCTCCCCAAGCGTTTTTAAGTAAACGCACAAATGTCAGGCGCGGCGAGGCAAGGCAAAAGGCACTTCGAGCCAAGTCGAAAATGTAAGGAAAAGGTAAACGCCATTGCAAAGGCA